CCTGCGCGTCCGGAGCCTGTGCTCCGCAACGGGAGAGGCCACGGCGGTGAGGGGCCCGCGTACCAAAAAAAAAAAAAAAAAAGGAGGGGGCACTGAATCTGTGAGAGCTGAGGCTGGAGCTGGAGCTGTGGGAGGGAGGGGACCCCAGGAGGAGCCCTAAAGGCCCCCCTCTCCTTCCCCACGCCCCCGCCTCTGCCTCCTTTCAGCCCACTTCCTTTCCACAATTACACTGTATCCTGCTGGGATCAACTTAGAAAATAAAATAATATGCCTGGGGCGGGGGGAGGGCAGGAGCTTCTGCATAAAGAAAATCCTCTTTTATTCCTAAAAAGAGAAAGAAAAAGAAACTGCCGCGTTTTCTCGGTGCTGATGCAAAGCAGTGAAAGTGTCTCAGTGGGAAGTGAGCTCTGGCCTAGCTGTTTTCATCTTCTCTCCAGATCCCCTCTCGCAGCAGCACAAGCCTGCGCGCTCTCCCCTCTGAATCCTTCTCTCACCCCTCCTCAGGGCCTCGCACACGCTGTCTCCCTTGCCTGGAACCCCGTTCCCTCCTCCCTCCCTGGCACCTTCACCCTTCCCAGCTCAGCTCCCCACTCATAACAGGGTCAGTTCCTCTCCTGTCGGTTCACACTTCCCTCTTCCTGCCTCGGCTGCAGTTTTCTGGGATCTTTTGGATAAGGTCCCTGAGGTAGACTGACAGCCGCGAGGGCAGGTGCCCGTCTATCTGATGCACCCGTGGGTCCTGGCCTCTGCTCAGCACTGACACGTGGCCGTGTTTGGTCAACATCTGTTGGGTGAACCAGTAGATAAGTGAATGAATGAGATCAGTCATCAAAACAGCCTCCTAAGTAGTGGATCCAGCCCTGGAACCAGGTCTTTTAACGCCACGCTGTCCTGCCCAAGGTCCCATGTCTGCACCTGCTCGGATGCCCCTTTGCTCCCGCCCCATCTGTCCACGCATCTAAGGAAGACACGCTCCTCCTGCCTGGCCTCCTCCAAGAAACTGCCTCTGACCTGGAAGGGCAGGACATCTGTACCACTCTCAGCCCCAGACAAATGACCTGGCCCAGGTAGTTGGCCTCCCTCCCGCCTGGGGCCGCCCAGTGGCCGCCCCATAGAGCCCAGGGGGCAGGACTTACACCGCAGCTTCTCATCCAGGGTTCCCCTCGAGGTGACCGACAGCGCCTGGATGAACTCAGAGAACTCAATCCGCCCATCCTGCAGGAGAGAGGGGAGTGGGGGTGGGCCTCAGTTAGCGCTGAGTCACCTGGTCAGGCTGCATCTTGGGAAGGTGGTGATGGGCGGCAGCAGGTACCAGACACCCAAGTGGAGAGTGCAGGAGTGAAGGGATGAAGGTGAGGAGAAGGAAGGGGATGGGGAGAGGGTAGGATTAGAAACGGGAAAAGAGGACTTCCCTGGCAGTCCAGTGGTTAAGACTCCGCACTCCCAATGCAGGGGGCACGGGTTTGATCCCTGGTTGGGGAACAAAGATCTCACGTGCTGCATGGTGTGGCCAAAAAAAAAAAAAGAGGGAAAAGCCAGGCAGGAGGGACAGGGAAAAGGGTGAGGCCAAAGGGAGAGCCTGACACTCCACATCTGGTGGGAGGAAGACGGACCACCAGCACACAAGACCCTCTGGGCAGGAGTCACCCAGAAACCCCTTTCTCCTTGGCCTTGAACCACAGGCTCAGAGGCTTCAGAAAAAGGTGGGGCTCTGGACTGTTCAATCCTATTTATTTTGCAAATAAGGAAACTGAGGTCCGGAGAGACCAGAGCTCTTCCCAGGGCCAGGCAGTGTGATCGTCAGCTGAGGCCACCTGCGGAGAAAGCCAGGGCGTGACAGAGCAGAAAAAATCCGAGTGCCCTACAGCATGGAGCGTGGAAACAAGTTACAGTACATCCACCTTGAATACAAGTGAGCCAGGAAATATGCCAGCGTGGCACAGAGTCTGGAGGACTGCAGATGCCCCAATGGTGGATATGCCAACTGTCAGGGTGGCCGTCACCAGGAAGGGACATGCTGCAACACGGATAAGCCTTGAAAACACGATGCTCAGTGAAAGAAGCCAGGCACAAAAAATCCCATATTATATGATTCTCAGTTTCCTCATCTGCAAAATGGGGGCAATTAAAAGGCATCCCTACAGGTAGTTGGTTGTAAGGTCTCACTAAAAATAATCCACATAGCAACTAAGCCCGTGTACCACAACTACTGAGCCTGCACTCTAGAGCCCACGAGCCACAGCTACCAAGCCCGCGTGCTGCAACTACCGAGCCCACGCACCTAGAGCCCATGCTGCGCAATAAGAGAAGCCACCGCAGTGAGATGCCCGCGCACCACAACGAAGAGTAACCCCCGCTCGCCGCAACTAGAGAAAGCCCGTGCGCAGCAACGAACACCCGAGGCAGCCAAGAATGACATAAATAAATAAATAAATTTATTTTTTAAAAAAATCCACATAAAGAGCATAGTACGTAGTAAATGTTCAGTAAATGTCAGCTATGATTATAAATCCTGTTATTATCCCTGGAGGCATTTGCATTTTGTGCTTGTAAGAAAAGGGTCAAGGTATACATATGTGTGCAGGTGTGTATACATGTATGTCTGTGTGCATGGTATGTACGTGCATACACGGATCTCTGTGGGTTCCCTGTGCATGGGTGAGCTCCTGCAATGTATATACGTGCATGCATTTGTGTACAATATGAGTGCATGTATGTTTGTGTGTGCGTGCATGCATTTGTGTGCACCTGTGTATAAGCACGCGTGGGTGTGCACGCATGTGCGTGCGTTTGTGTGTATATGTGTGTGTGTGAGTGCACACATCTGTGTGTTCCTTCTCTGGAATGCGACATTAGCAGGACAGCGTGGGTGTGGGGCTGCGCAGGCTGCCGCAGGAGGGAGGGGACTCCAGGCTGGCACAGGCCCTGTCAATTCCCAGCTCACCTTGTTTTCATCAAAGACGTTGAACACAAATGTGGCGAACTTGGTGGGGTCTCCAAACGGGAAGAACTGCTTGTATATCTTCTGGAAGCCTGCTGCGTCCAGCTGCCCGCTGGGGCAGTCCTTGATGAAGCCTTTGTACCTGGAGGTAGAGGCCAGGTGAGAGAGGGCAAAGGAGACTCCAGCATCACCCACCTGCTGGGAGCTCCTGCCCAGCGCCCTGGAAGCCTGTGAGTCCCTGTCCAGGGAGACAGTGCCACACAGGGTTGTGAGCACAGACCTGGACTCCACAGGCATGGGCTCATCCCACCTCTGCCTCTCGCTAGCTGCGTGACCTGGGACAGGTGGCCACACCTCTCTTAGCCTCATCTGTCCCAGAGGGATAAGAGTCACTTGGCCACTCGGCCCCCTGCTCCACACAGGTGACTAAAACAAAACTTGCATGAACGACCTCCCCGAAGTCCCGCTCTCGCACAGGGTATTCCCCCCTCCGCGACCCTCTCCACTGAGCCCCTCCCGGAGCCAGGCAGGCTGGTGGTGCTGGTGGCGCTGGTGGGCAGAGCCACCATATGGGGCCGGCAGCTGGCTCCTCCCACATGACTGCACCCCCCCAGCGTGCACACACCTGCTCCCCTGCCTCTGTTCCCAGAGAACTGTGTAAACGACGCGGGAGCCGCCCAGCAAGCTCGGAGGGCATCCTGGTGGTTTCCAACTGGACCTGTCCACCCTGCATTCCCAGTGCCCAGGGACCCTCCAGATACCCGGCCAGCTGACGGCAACATGGCTTTGCAGCCCAAATCCCAGTCCTGCCATTTGCTAGCTGCATCCTCAGGCAGGTGCCTTGACCTCTCTGAGCCTGACTCTCCTCATCTATAAACAGGGACAGCTATCACATCCATCTCGTGGGGACTGCGTGAGATGATAATGTAGCATACTTGGCACAGGACTGGACGTAAAAAATAAGCAATGGCATGACCTTTAGTATCATGACCTCAATGTGTTCTTTTATTTCTTTTATTTTTTATTTTTTTTGTGGTACGCGGGCCTCTCACTGTTGTGGCCTCTCCCGTTGCGGAGCACAGGCTCCGGACGCGCAGGCTCAGCGGCCATGGCTCACGGGCCCAGCCGCTCCGCGGCACGTGGGATCTTCCCGGACCGGGGCACGAACCCGTGTCCCCTGCATCGGCAGGCGGACTCTCAACCACTGCACCACCAGGGAAGCCCCAAAGTGTTCTTTTAAATCAATTCATAAGTTGGCTCCTGCGTGTAGCTTGGCAACTCCAACCAGGACATACATTCCCCTGAGGAGGATTCCCAGCACAAAGTGGGGCTAGAGAGAGGGGTCAGCTATTATCAGCTACCAGCTGCTACCTCTGCTGGACCACTCTCTGCTGGGAACTTTGCAAACCTGATTCTCCCGGAACGCCAACAACAGCCCTATGAGCAATGTACTATGATGAAGTCCCCCCCTTTTTTTTTTTTTTTTTTGGCCACGTGGCTTGTGGGATCTTAGTTCCCCGACCAGGGATTGAACCTGGGCCCCAGCAGTGAAAGTGCAGAGTCCTAACCACTGGACCGCCAGGGAAGTCCCAAGCCCATTTTAAAGATGAGGAAACTGAGGCTTTGAGACGAGGAGATCTGCAAGTCCTTGCAGCCCAGACTGGAGCCGAGGTGGGGTTCAAAGTAACCACTGATGGGGTCAGATGCTCAGAGACATGGGCTCACTGAAGACGTCCCCTCCTCGCAGCCCCCCTGTTCTCTGGTCTACCCAGGGCCACTCTCCCGTCACGTCCTGGGAAAGTTGCTGGTGGCGCCGTGACCGAGGGCCGTATACATAGAGAGCATGTGGAGAAGCCACTGTCCCTTAACCCATCAGAAAACAAGCTAAGGGGCCCAGGCTGGGTGAAGGGACACACAGGGCACCGGAAGTAGGGAGCCTTGGGAATTCTGGGGCCTAAGTGATCAAGGTCAGATGTCAGAAAGAAAGCAAGACAAGACTCTTGCTAACATGTCAGCGGTTCCTTAGGGGTGAGGGCGAGGCTGGGAGATGGAATGGGGTGTGACGTTGCGCTGTCGTAGGCACCCACCCTCCCGCAGTGCCCCCAGCAAGCATGAGGCTGTAAAAATATGGCTGGGCCTGTGCGTGCCTCCCCACCCACCCCCTGGGGCACCTCGAGGGGCCAGAGGCCCAGGGAGGCGGTCGTGGCCCAGTAACCAGGATTGCTGCCCCATCTTACCACCACCTGCACCTTTGACAACAGCCCCGTGCCAGGCACTGGCCTAAGCCTTCGTGGGCGGTTCCTCCTGCAGTCACCACTCAGCCCTGCTCAGTGGGTTCGGTGATCCCCATTTCACAGATGAAGGCACTGAGGCACAGAGGTCAGGGCCCCTCCCACAGCAGGTACCAGAAAGGGACTCGGCCCCTCCGGGTCCCTCCCCTTGAAGCCTCCTTCCCAGCTGGGTGTTCCAGACTCAAACCTTCACATCTCGGCCAGGACGCAGAGCCAGAGAGGAGCATTTCAGAGCCAAGATCTGGTCCATGACCCCAGGCCCCTGGTCAGGAAGGGTCCCTGGGCAGGAGGAGGGAACAGGCCCGGCGGCAGGCCATGATAACCACAGCGGGGCACAGCCGGCTCTGGAGGCCAGAGGGGGGCCATCGCTTCCCCTCGTGTCCCCCAGAGCCTCCCATTGCCCCACAATGGCTATGTGTCACTTGAGTAATTTGAAAAGATTATTAAAAACAATAAAGGGAGGGCTTCCCTGGTGGCGCAGTGGCTGAGAGTCCGCCTGCCGATGCAGGGGACGCAGGTTCGTGCCCCGGTCCGGGAAGATCCCACACGCCGCGGAGCGGCTGGGCCAGTGAGCCGTGGCCGCTGAGCCTGCGCGTCCCGAGCCTGTGCTCCGCAATGGGAGAGGCCACAACAGTGAGAGGCCCGCGTACCAAAAGTTTATACTGAAATACGTCTCTCCATTATAAGTGTTAAAGTATACAATTATCCATCTGCTGAGCTGACATTTTTCAGCCTGACATTTAATATTGTCACAGACAAACAGTCCTACTGAGCCTTGCCTAGGATTTCAAAGACAGTGTCTGCAGGCAGAAACGTTTTAATTAAAGTTTGATTTAATGAAAATTATGAGTCACAAAAATAACTGCCTCAAGTAATATTAAATATCCAGACTGGAAATAAATCTGGAAAGTTCTAATCTAAAAGCTTTCAATCGTCTCTAAGTTTGCTATAACGAGCACAAGGTTCAGATTTCCACCACTGTCAATTTTGTTCAATTTACTACCTTGTAGAATTTGTAAACAAGCCCATTTCCCTTTTCAGAGATGAGCAGTTCTTTTTGTTGTTGTTGCTATACTGTTTTCAGTTTTGCATTCCCCACAGGGATTCTCACATAGTAATAAAAGGAATATTAGCTAACGTTTTGATCCCACGCTATGTAATAGTTTGTTTTACACACATGTTCCCATATGTAGTTTTTACAGCAACTTTGTGAAATAAAGTGAGATCATCCCCATTTTACAGATAAAGAAATTATGGTACAAAGATATAAAATAAACATACCCAATATCATGCCTGGTGGTAACACAAGGATAAAAATCCCAGCAGTCTGACTCCAAACAATACATTTCTAACAACTAGACAATTGTGACTAAAAATATATTTTAGGGAGGTAAGTCCTCCAATAAAACTCCTAAGGTTTTAAGAAACTACAGCTGTATCTATGCAATTTTTCACCATCCCATATACCAATATATACCTTTATATTTCAAATATTTTGAGAATATGCTTCATTCTTATTCTAAATCAAGAAATAATTTAATGTAAAGGTGAAAAAGCCAATCCTCATGACACCACTCAACACAATTTCTTAAACTGACACCATATTTTAACTGCCAACTCACATTCCATCAAGTCTATCCATACTTAAGTGCATAAATATCTTATGAGTTTTTTAACCAAATTCTTTTGATGAAAATTATGCTTTCATGGCTATAACTAGGCTATAAAAGGTAGGTCTTTCTATGTGTTTAGAGAAATATGCCATTAGGAAATTACTTTCTTCTGAAATTTAAAGAAACAAGTAAGCAAACTCATCTGTGGAGTTTAAAAATCACTTGAAGAATAAAAGTGTCTGATTTACGAGGAGAAGTCTAAGAAGCTAGATAAGCTGATACCTGATGAGAGAGAAAATAAAGGTAGTAATACAACTGAAAGTTATAAACACCCTTGAAGACAGAACTAATTTGTCACCCTGGCTTTTCTGCTGTATCTTGGAATAGTGAGCTACTGTCAAGTGCGAAGGAGATTTTCCCCCACTTTTGAGGTTTTATAATCTGCTGCCTTGGAAATGCAACTCCCTGATAAAAGTAGAGCAAGTTTGCCATTTATATAATAGGCACCAATTTGCTGTGAATAGACTTAATTTTATTAAATCTTTTGAGATTCCGTATGAGTCATTCCGTCAATATTGACTGAAATTTAGACAAACTATGCAGCTTTGCAATCTTCTCTTTTGTGTAAACTATGCTCATCTCAAAAGATGATTACTTAAAGGCTGCTCATTTACAAAATGGCCCCAGAACTTGTCCTTTATCCTTTACTCTATGGCGAGTTCCAGCGTGGGACAACCCTTTCACCCGATTTTGCCAGGACTTCTGTGTAACCAAGTCAACTCTCCCCTGTAGGGGATCAGGGAGTGGAAGATGGACCTGTGGGTGAAGCAGCTGAGAATGGGCAAAGCAACCCCCACGCTAGTAAATATACAGCCTAACCTGACAGCAACACCCAATGTCTAGAAATTCAGAACTTTCTGTCAAGCTCTTGAAAAACAGAGGACAAACACAAATAGATGAAGGTTAAAATGAAGCATAATATCCCCTAAGGAAACAAAATAGGACACAAACTGTTTACGTTTGTTCAAGACAGATGAATACAATGATTCAAAAAGAAAATGTAAGCACTATATATAAATTAGTGAAATGAAAGAGAACGAAGACCTATTTAAAATGCCCAACTGTAAAATAGATAGCTAGTGGGAAGCAGCCGCATAGCACAAGGAGATCAGCTCGGTGCTTTGT